CAATTACATGATTTAGTAAAATAACATATGGCCAGTTCATTCCAAGTGTTGTTGATTGTAGCATATTTCGGCCTTATCTTCTAACATACTTCATGGTTTCATTAGTGGACAACATGCTGGAAAGAGAGTGTTCATCCCTATGATCCCTTTGGCGCCCTCGGAGGACATTTCACTTCCTTTCAAGTTGAAGAGGAAACAGTTTCCTGGATCGATCCTGGAGAGCCCCTTCCGTAATCAAGTCCCCTCCCCACTCGGAGTCCTCCGCCACTGACGCACGGGTAAGCGCCAGAGATGCGGTGCATCCACGCGGTTCAACGAGCTGCCGCTGTCGTAGATAACCAAGACGTACACGGAGATAAGCAAGATTCAGTGTGCTGCACTGCCCCCACGCGCTCTGAGGGTGCGATGTCCCCGACGTGTCCAAGACAAGGTCCAGGAAGACCCTCGCCTTCGTTATCCTGGTAAAGTTTTGCTGTTATTTTACTCCCCCAATTCCACTTACAGGGGAACAAAGAGTAAGAGTAATCCTGGGGATAATGGTATTTTCATTTGTGCTTCTAATTAATAGTATTACTGTCAGCTCCATCCTTAGAGCAATTGACGAAAATGACTATATCACCTAGATTGATAGACAATAATTATGCACAAACATGGCAATGTCCACAAAACAACTGCCGCTGCATTGCTAAGATGCAGCTTGATTTGGCCTCAATATTTTGATTTTTGAGTATTACTTTCTTCCACTCCTCTGCAAAATACTCCTATGTTCTAGCTTCTCAAGCCTCTACTCTCAACCAGTCCAATTGTCCAGGTGTTTTTTTTGGATAAATATTGATTTTGTTTCCTTTATCTATCGGTTTCAATTCTGTATCCGCCGTTCTCAGGATAACTGTGTGATGTTGCCATGGGATCCAAAATAACTATTTTTTACTGAAGCTACAGACTTAAGCAGTTTCTACCATGTGTACTGTATTTTGAGTTAAACCTGAACGGCTTTCGTCGCATGATACACCACAGTGCTTTCATGTTTTTAGGAGGGTAGTTCTTCCCTGTGTTATGAATATGATTACTATGGTGTCACTGTACATTTCTTATATGGTTAGTTCTTAATTTTCTTCATTATTCCAAACATGTGTACCCACTAGGATTTCATTTTTTATTATTTACCTTCAAGCAGTATATATTACTGTTGTTTGTTGTCCACCTTGATCCTTCGCTGATATTTTTCCTAGGAAACTTCACATGGAATTAGGATCAGTTAATAAGATTCTGGTATATTCTCAATTTTTCTTGCTTTATGCATGAACCTATCATCAAGATTTGGATCTCTTATATGTGCCTTTGCTGCTGTAGATTTGTTGGTGTTGATTTGCAGTAAGAGGAAATGTACTATTGTTCTCATCAATTTCTTTCATACCATGTGTATGGTTAGTTCTTAATATTCTTCATTATTCAAAATACTTGTACCCACTAGGATTCATTTATTATTTTTTACCGTCAAGCACTATATATACTAGCTAAGTGTCCGTGCGTTGCCACGGATTAACAAATATATATATACAAAGAGAAAATTCATGTGACATGAGAGTCAAAGGTCATTTCTATGGGATGATATCTCATGGTCATGATCTAGTAGATACATACATCTCGTCATTGTCTTTCTTCCACACTCCATGTCTGAGCTACCACGCGACATTCGACTTCCTTCTCCCACCATGCATGCTTTTATCTCCTATTTCTCCTACCTTTACCTTACACGACAGTACCAAGTTTCTTGTCCAACTATCATAATCTTCTCCGGTAGGGCACCCCCTTAGATTATTACTGACTTGTACATGTTGCAAATAAGATCAACGAAAATGGATACTAAATTTCTGATGAGAAATGAGAATTCAGGGCAATATCTTCCCAAGACAATAATAATTCCAAGACAATCTTTTTATACCTTCTGTCAACATTGGGACACACATTCCACACAATAAGCATGCAATGATGTTGATACTTGATTAATTGTCATTATATGTCTACAGTAAAGATAACTTTACTCAAAACCGCCTATCTTAGCCAAATCAACAAATCTCTCTCATTAATGCAATTTTCTTTAGAAAACAAATAATAGATTCTTGCCTATCTTAGCCAAATCAACGGATCTCTTTCATTAATGCAATTTGCTTTAGCAAATAAATAATAGATTCTTTCCTACCTTAGCCAAATCAACGGATCTCTCCCATTAATGCAATTTGCTTTAGCAAACAAATAATAGATTCTTTCCTACCTTAGCCAAATCAATGGATCTCTCCCCGGTTCGCTGGGCGCGTTTCGGTGGGTGGGCGTGGGGGTGGGGGTAATTTGATGGAAATAAACCGGTTGAAAATAAACCGGTTGAAAATAAACGGATCCTGTCTCACTCTTCACTTTCTTTACAATAAACTTCAGAATAGCAATCTTGGCGAGTGATCTCGACGGGGTTCAATCGGCGTGGCGCACCGCTGATTCTTCCAGGAGTGGGTGTTGAGAGGAAGGATCCCAAACCTCCATTGTCAATCGGCCAGAGCTGCATCTTCCTTTGGATCAGAGCGTGGACGGGATCAAGACGGTAGGGTTTGAGGAATTTGTAGGACATGAGGGTTTATGGTTGGCAGCACGAGAACTCACCCATATCTTGGCAGACGGCAGGCCCGAGGTGCGGTCGTGTTCATGCTTCGGGAGCTGCCACATGCTGTCCTCGCCGCCATCAGCGACACCACCGCCATCACCTGTTGCCACCACTTCAGCGCCATGAGCGTGGGACCGAGGGACGAAGGGAAGGGAAGGAAGTGAATTGACGTACCTATGTTTGGTATATATCACACGAGGAATCAAAACTGGATGCACGTGAAAGCATAGAGATGGGAGAGGAGGACAGAGGAAGGGAAGGGCAAGAGGAACCTGAGGATGTGCGATGAAGGAGCGATGCCAAAACATCACAAAGGGGGACCCGTAGCTCGTCACGTAGCGCGGCCGCCTCATTGCCGGCTGCCACCCCGCGCTACCGCCTCCGTGCGCAGGTTCCGTTCGTGGAGCGTGAGGAGCGCATGACCTGCCTTCACCGCGGCCTGGTCCTCCCCACTATCGTGAAGCTCGCCCGCATCGCCGCCCCAATTGCTCAGGATGACGGATGAAGATCCTGCAACAGCGACGTGGGTGAGGGATGCAGCCGACGATGGAGGGATGATTTTCGTGGCTAAACCCTCCCTATCAAAATAACTACTTAAAAAAGGCAAAGATCGATGCATTAGGAAAATTAGGATTTGGAATTGATTGTCATAAAACAAAATTTTATTAATTGATAACGTGCTATCGGTACATGCCCGTTTATAACGTGTCTAGTTAGGAAACTTTGGAAAAGTTAGGAAAGTTTTTATTGTGAGGGTAAAAAATCAATGTGAGGAGATATGGTGGTGGGATATGAGACGAAAATAAACCGGACGAAAATAAACCAGACGAAATATAACCAGACGAAAATAAACCGTGGACGCAATCCTACCAACTGCTCCATTAGGAGTAGAGATTACTGTTGTTTGTTGTATACCTTGATCCTTCGCTGATGTTTTTCCTAGGCAACTTCACATGGAATTAGGATCACTTAATAAGATTCTGGTATATTCTGCAAATTTTCTTGCTTTATGCATGAACCTATCATCAAGAATTGGATCTCTTATATGTGCATGTGCTGTTGTATATTGGTTGGGTGTTGATTTGCAGTAAGAGGAAATGTACTATTGTTCTCATCAATTTCTTTCATATCATCTTATAAAAATATGTTGTTTAAATATGAAGAGGTGGATAAGTTTTTGGCTTTAGTTACTGAATATCCAGATCCGGCTTGCTTCTCAGCTATGGCCTACATTTAGAAGAAATATGTTGTTTAAATATGAAGAGGTGGATAAGTTTCTGGCTTTAGTTACTGAATATCCGGATCCTGCTTGCTTCTCAGCCATGGCTTACATTTAGAGAAGACATGTTCATATGTAAGAGATTTAAGGTCAATGATCTCCCCCTATTGTAATGCTCATCATCTTAATTCAGACATTGCTATATATATGCACCATGGTTCATGACTGTACTTTTTTCTTACGTGTTTACGAAGTTTGTCAGTATTATTATGCAGAGATAACCTGTCATGGTTCTACGTTGATGTGTTCTTTCATTTGTCAATTTCTTTTGCTTTGAAGCAATGTTGATTGCCTCAAAGAATGGTTCCGCGTGGCTTACACGCTTATACCTACTTGAATGTTAAATTTTATTAGCAAATTCATCGAGAACAATGCCAACATTTTACGTCTTGCTACATGAAGCTATGTACTGCAGGGTACAACAGTGTCAACATTTCCGGTGCTCATTGACAATAAGATTGAAGATGTATTTTCTTGATTGGAAATATTATACCTCAAATTTAATTCAATCGTGGATACAATGACAACTTTATGCCCTGAATAACAAGTGATTATGTGAGTGTAGGAATTAGGACTGGTGACAACAACATGTGGAGTGGCACAACAAGTGGTGCTGTGGAGTACCGAAGCAAGGGTAGTCAGGTAAATCCAACGGCGTGCACGTTTCGATCGCCGTGCGATCGCCCTATTTGGACAAGGGGCACATTGGTTCATAAAACAATCAACACGTCTTTATGATTTAAATTTGAATTATGATAGAAATATTTCTGTTTCATAATCGAGACGTGTATTACACGTACATGCTTACTAGTATAGTAAGAACATCCATGATTTTTTTTCGGAATTTTTTGACACGCTTAAATTTGAATTTTTCAAATTGGTATCATGGGAGCATATAAGTATTGGTATCATGTGATATTCTCCCCGTAATCACCTATGCAGTTCCACTTCAGTTTCGGTTCTTACCTTGCCCCTGGTGTGTAGTGTGCCGTGTTAATTTACTTCCCTTTTGCGATGATGCTCTCATCGCTCTGTTACATTTTGAATGGATATACGCCAAACTGAATGTCATTTTTCAGTCCCTACCCCGGCCGTGCGATGTTTGTAGCCTTCGTAGTTCTGCTCCTCTCCTTGCCGGCGCCATCGGCCGGTGACCAGCTGCTCTGCGCCGGCGCCAACGGCAAGTACAGCCCAAACAGCACCTACCTGACCAGCCTTAGATCCCTCGCCGATGAACTTACCGCCAGAGCCATGAACTCGCACTCGGCCACTGGCACGGCCGGCACGGGCTCCAACGACAAGGTCTACGGCGCCGTGCTCTGCCGAGGGGACTCCACCGGCGCCGACTGCAGCGGGCGCCTCCGGGAGGCCTTCGGCAGGACCATCGACGCCGACAGCACCGGGGCCGCCGCATGCGCGCTCCACAAGGACGTGGCGCTCTACTCCGAGCTGTACCAGCTTCGCTTCTCCGACGAGGACTTCCTCTCCGCCTCCAGCAACGCGCCGGAGTGGGTCGACGGCACCAACCTGAATCTTGTGCCGGCCGCCGATGCTAGGCAGTTCGACGAGCTGGTCGCCAAGCTAACGAGATCCCTTGCAGAGGCCGCGGCAGCGCAACCGGACAGGTACGCAACGGCCGACGTGCCGTGGTCGTCACGGGAGAGCGAGCGGACCGTGTACGGGCTGGCGCAGTGCATGCAGGACATGCCGCCGGAACGCTGCCGCGCTTGCCTCAACGGAGTCGGCGCTGAGATACGGCGGCGGATAGGTAGCAGCAAGATGGGCGGGGCGATTCATGGTGCGCGGTGCACACTCCGGTACGAGACCGGCACCCAGTTCTTTACGGAGGCTGCCACAGGCAAGTTGTTGCCTATGTTATTCAAACTCTAATTGAGCATGCCACATATTCAGATCCTTATACTAGCGACCTAAAACGTCTTATACCATATGTTTATGGAGGGAGTACAATTTAGAGAACAAGAGAGAAACTGGGATTTTTTTTAAATTCATTTTTGTCTTTAAAAAAATCGAGCGTTGAGAGAGAAACTGAGATTCTTTTTTAATCCATTTTTTCTCAGCACAGGTGCGGACCAGTGTTTGAGTTCTAGACTCGGCTCTATGTACTCCGGAATTTTCTTCTATAAAAATAAACCACCAATCACTAGTCTCATTTTTAAAATCCTTTTCATGAACATCAAGTTTTTCCGCCTTTTTTATCATCGGAGTTGGACTATCAACAATTAGATAAGATCATAAACAGGTTTCATGTGTTTCTGGGTAGCTTAAGAATAAAAAGTAAGACTGCATAGAGTTTTGCTAGATATGATTCTATAATAATGGAACTAACAGAACACGGGTAATGGCACAAAGGTTCAGTTTGCTTAATCAAATTTGGGTACATATACTGGAAGGAAGCAATCATGGAAAGTACATGACTTTACCTATCTGAGTCACCTTCTGACATTTCCCTTCTACCCGCAAAAAAAAAGTACTTATGAAAGAGCTGGAACCTTGAGAAGCTATTAGAAGTATCGTTCATCCCCTACCTGTAAATTATTCTCTTGAAATATTCAGGGCAAAGGAAGGGCCACGCACTCCTGATTATTGCCACAGTGTACTCGCTCTCGGTCGTCTGTACACGTTTGCTTTTCTGTGTCCTATACATCATAAGACGAAGAAAAAGAGGTAAGCAGTTCAATAAATTCCATGCGCTAATGATGATAGTTGCAACTAACTCACTACCAAGTGATCTAATTTCATGTAATAACTGATAACTGATGGAGGGGTGTACATTTAGGGAAGATAAACTCCACGGAGCAGCCCAAGAACATAGATGAAATCCTGAGGCTTTGGAAGATGGAAGATACCGGTTCTGAGTTCTCCTTGTATGATTTCTCACAAATCGCAGATGCTACAGACAACTTCTCACCCGGCAAAATATTAGGACAGGGTGGCTTTGGGCCCGTTTACAAAGTATTTTCTATCATATTCATATTTCCTCAATAAAAACAAAATTAACATGGCACCATTCTAAGTTATAGAGGATGGTTCATGATTTTTGCAGGGAATTTTTCCTGACGGACAAGAAGTAGCGATTAAAAAACTCGCTGCACGGTCAAGACAAGGTCTAGTGGAATTCAAAAATGAGATCCAACTGGTAGCAAAACTTCAGCACAGACACCTTGTTAGGCTGCTGGGTTGTTGCATCCATGACGAAGAGAAGATTCTGATCTATGAATACATGTCAAACAAAAGCTTGGACTACTTCATTTTCGGTACATTTCTTTCTGGAGTAATTTGCTAACGTTTAATTGTATGCCTTCCCCTCTGTAGTACTAAACACTCAGCCCTGTGCCACATTTGCAGATCCAAACAGGAGGACATCATTAAACTGGATGATACGACTTAAAATAGTTGAAGGAATAGCCCAAGGGCTTCTATACCTTCATGAGCATTCACGACTGCGTATCATCCATAGGGATCTGAAAGCAAGCAATATTCTGTTAGACTCTGAGTTAAATCCTAAGATTTCTGATTTTGGCATGGCAAGGATATTTCCGTCAGATGCCACTCAAACAAAAACAAGCAGGCTTGTTGGAACATAGTAAGTACAGCACACGAGTAAATTACCAATTAATGTTTCTACCCAAGCATTTTCCTTCTTACTATTGCATGTCATCTTTCCTAGTGGTTACATGGCTCCTGAGTACGCATTTGAGGGCCTCCTTTCGATCAAGTCAGATGTTTTCAGTTTTGGGGTATTGCTTCTTGAGATTATAAGTGGAAAGAGGAGTGCAGGATTTCAGCATTATGGAGAAGGAGAATTTCACAATCTTCTTCAATATGTAAGCAAGTTAATATCTGTAAAATTGGTGCATTCTCGATTTTTCATTTCCATGAATTGTAGGGGTCTTTTCATTCTTTCCCCGTTTTATTAGCTACTATAAGTTTGTGTGCAAATTTAAATACAGATATATAAGGTTACCCCTACCGTCAAATTTATGTAAGGACCGTATTTCCAGGCATGGCAGATGTGGGAAGAAGAAAGATGGCATGAATTCATTGATCAATCAATTGGTGATGAATATGAACCAGGAGACATGATGAAATATCTCAGGTTGGCACTGATGTGTGTCCAAGTAAAAGCAGTAGACCGTCCCACTATGTCTGATATTGTTGCAATGCTTAGCAGTGACGACATCACTGTACCAGAGCCAAGGCAACCAGCTTACTCCTATACCAGAGTAGATGTGTCAGTGAACATCAATTTATCATGCACCAGAAATGATATAACCCTCACCACTACTGATGGTAGATAAATGAGTAATTTATTTCATTTGCAAAGTGTGTGACTACTGGTTTTGGATGTTCTTCTTGTATTGACAAATTAAGTAGACAGGGCACTGTTTGTATTCCATTAGTGACTCAGAACTTCACCCATTTATCCTATTCCTGCATATGTAACAAGATTTTCCATCATATGCAATGCAATATTTACAATTTTGTGACTATGGGAACATATACATATCTGTTTCGAAACAACATAGCACTCGAACCAGCACATGCCCTGTGAGCTGCTGAGCAGATCAACAAAACCACCCTACTATCTACCGTCAGATGGTCCTTTGAGATTCACATATTTTATGTCTCTACACTGTGCAACATTGCAGTCACTGTGATGAACCAATTCATATCTAGCTTCTAAAATCCATTATGGAGAAGGTATTCTACACTCCCGGTACTCCCAACTCTAGAAATCCCATTCTAAAAGTAATGAAAAATTTCAACAAAAATTGGCAATACAGACAAACTTATATATAAATCATATAACAAAAAAAATCAAAACAACGGATTTGAAATACACGTCTAGAAACAAAAATGACAAATATAGCTGTGAATAGCACTAATCCAATTTGGGCCGTGAATTCAGCTCATTAACAATATGAATGCTGGATTCTTCTTTTTTGTTTCTCGAGCTACAGATTAAGTTTTGGTTTGGAACTTTGTGACATAGCAGATACATATAGTATAAGTATTGCAATTCTGCTCATAAGTTTTGGTAATTTTTTGATAGGCCAAAACACTCACGAGCACCAGGAGTATTCCACACCGGGATTACTCCATACATTCTCGTCCGTTCTATGCATGTTAGACATGAAAATGAATTAATGATAAAGTGAAAGTGCAATCTAGAACATATGGTGACCTTGTTTTAGACATGAAGGTACTGTAAAATTGCCTTTACTAAGATGTGAAACTAGGACATGCTACAACAGTGATGATGGTCTCAAAGGCTCGAACTGAATAGAGGTGGTATAGCCCACCGGGGATAGCAACATATTTCCCAACACAAATAGATAGTTTCTCTGTAAAATGTTCATATAATTAATATGCATGAAAGCAGGATTAGAAGGAAAAAAAAACGCAATTTCAGATAACGGGATTGAAAAGTATGACAGCACCTGTGTGTGTAAATAAAGTCCAATGCTTACACTTGGACCAAATTGGAGGTCAAGCCCCTGTCCAGTAGGCATGTTTCTCTGCCCTACTTTGCAGGATATGGTGACCATCATCATCAGTCATCCTGTCAATTCAAAGAGAAATGTCTAACTTAGACCAGTCTGGTCCCAAAGGTCATTTTCATAAGAACCTTCAACATGTTTACCTCTTGTACACAAAGAGAAGATGTTATTTGCCACTCATTCATTACAGCTTCATGAGTACTTCTGCAACGCAGATAGATCAAAGGCCATTTTCTGAAGTAAACGAGGAGGATGCCACTATTATCTCTCTTAGTTCTCTTCCTCTCCTCGGCTTCGTCAGAAGGTCAGGCTCTCTGCAGCGACAATAATGGCGGCATGTACATGCCAAACAGCACCTACAAATCCAACCTTGTATCCCTCGCTGAACTACTGTTTGCCAAAGCCACAGAGGATCACTCAGCTACTGGCACGGCTGGCATAGGACCAGACAAGGTCTATGGTGCAGTGCTTTGTCGGGGTGATTCTGACGGCTCCGACTGTCGGAAGCACCTAACCAGGGCCCTTGATGAAGCAATCAACAGCAAAGCTGGCAACTCTTACTCCCTCCAGAGTAACAACGTGACCTACTACTACGACCAATACCAGGCACAGATAAGCTTCTCCGACCAGGACTTCCTTTCCAACTTCAGTGACATGCCCGGGTGCACCGTGAATACTAACCTGAATTCTGTGACGGCCACTGTAGTAACCGAGCGTTATGAAGACCTTGTCACCAAGCTGCTGCATGCGCTTGCTGATGTTGTGGTGAGCCGAGCAGAAAAATATGCAGTCGGCAAAGTGTGGTTTGAGGAGACAGGACAGACGGTGTATGGGCTGGCGCAGTGCATACGGGATATGCCATATGAGCGTTGCGTGGCATGCCTGGATCGCATAATCTCTGGCAGGCAGAATAAGATCATTTCTGGCCAGATGGGGGCAGCATTTCTTGGGGTGTGGTGCACATTGCGTTATGAGACGGACACACAGTTCTTTACTGATACCAAGATGCGGTCGCTCGATGCGCTCCCAAGAAGTATGTTTTCTTGAATGGTTCCATTAATTGCATAACATATTTATTGGCTTCTTTTGACCATTCCAGTAGAACAGAAGTAAATAACTTAGTCTTAAGTATTTTCATTAGTAATTTCGACTTTGAGCCTCATTATCTTATCCTAAGAGGGCATAGATTTGAAACAAGGGGGTGTTTGCAAGTTTCTTTTCCTAGAATTAGGGGGGGAAAACTTACCAAAGATGTGCTAAATTAAATGGCTAGAAACCAAAATACCTATTCCACTTCAACTGTTTCAGATAGTAATTGACAACTCCTTTAGCCTCCAATTTGCCTTTTTACAGCCAATTTGTTTCAAAGATCAGTCTTCTCCACCCTAGACATGATGCTGGGAGACAAGCTTGGCAATAAATATGAAAAGTCGAAAACTACTCCCTCCGTTCCTAAATATAAATGTTTGTAGGCATTCCACTATGGACTACATACGGAGCAAAATGAGTGAATCTACACTCTAAAATGCATCTATATACATCCATATGTGGTTCATAGTGGAATCTCTACAAAGACTTATATTTAGGAACGGAGGAAGTATGTCTTAAAACTCATATTCTTCAGTTTCAAGAGTAAAGACACTTTAACCTGTAGTTGGAAGTGTTCCTTCAGTTATGATGAATGGTACTAGTCATATCAAAGACATAGCGTATCAACAATGCAGCACATAACTCGCCATTGGTTTATCAAAATAGATTTTCATTGGAATTTTATGTGAATGTACAGGTAAAACACACTTTTTTCGATGGAACAATGCAGTCTTGGTTGGCGTTGGAGGTTTCATACTAGTAATATCAATTTCTTGCTTGGTTTTTCATATCTGGGTCAAAACACAACGACGAAGAGGTATGTATTCTCATCAATTCACCACTGCATAAGATAATATTTGTCACTCTTTATTTTTCTAAGTACATATATGAATAGCATAACATTTCATTATTATGTTTCAGAACAAACAATATTTAAACTAGGACAGCTGTATTTGTCAATACAAATTGCAATAAATCTTTGGAGGATGGGAGGAGCCAACCCAGAATTTTCACTTTATGATTTCTCCAAGATAAAAGAAGCTACAAATAACTTCTCAATTGGTAACAAACTGGGACAAGGTGGCTTTGGTCCTGTATATAAGGTGATTGTGTTGTGTACTGGCATCCTAAATGCTATCTTACTCAAAATCCAAAGTAAACATTCACTTGCTTGACTGCTTTTGTTTGAATACCATATTTCGTAGTGAGTTGAATTACTTATAGTCACCCATGAAAAAGATATGTGTTCTGCAACTATGCACAATTTAGCTTTTCCCAAAACATGATACACTGTATACATTTATTAACTTGTTTTCCTTTTCTCAATCTCAGGGCCGATTAAGAAATGGACACAAAATAGCAGTCAAGAGACTGGAAACATCTTCTTTGCAAGGTTTACTGGAATTCCAAAACGAAATTCAACTTATAGCAAAGGTTCAACACAAAAATCTCGTTAAACTGCTGGGATGTTGCACTCAAGGAGATCGAGAAAAGATGCTTGTATATGAATACATGGAAAACAAAAGCCTAGACTACTTCATCTTTGGTAGCCTTTCTAGTTTTGATGTGCCAGAAGCCTAGAGCACAGTATTATTTATAATTTGGCGATGCGTTTCGATTTATTATATATGTTCTGCAGATACCATTAAAGGAAGGCGATTAAACTGGTCAAAACGTTTGCGCATAATTGATGGGACAGCTCAAGGTCTTCTTTATCTTCACAACTACTCACGAATATGCATTGTTCATAGGGATTTGAAAGCAAGTAACATTCTCTTGGATAGTGTCATGAATCCAAAAATATCTGATTTCGGAGTGGCCAGAATATTCTGCTCAAATATGGCAGAGTCAAATACCACCAGAATAGTGGGAACACAGTAAGAACATAAAAGCATGTTCACTTTTAGTAAATATCAAATGTGTCCGCTTCTTTTGGAAGGAATGAAAATGCATTGAAGCATCCTATGAACTTAATCTTGAATTTCTACCTTTTGCATTAGTGGCTATATACCTCCGGAGTATGCTTTTGAGGGGGTTTGCTCGATCAAGACAGATGTATTTAGCTTTGGCGTATTGATTCTGGAAATAATAAGTGGAAAGAGGACAGCCCAGTTCTATCGATACAATGGGAAACTATACAATCTCATTGCATATGTGAGTGAAGTTACCCTAGACCCCAATTTGCACTTCTATGCATACCAATTTTCATTTTACAATGTAGTGTGTATATTGTTTGTTTCAATATTGATAAAATCACAATATTTTGACAACAGGCCTGGCAACTTTGGATAGATGGAAAATGGAGTGAGATGGCTTATTGTCCAGCAGAGAACGAAAATCAAGAGATAGAGAGGTGCGTTCATGTGGCACTTTTATGTGTTCAAGAAAGTGCAGAGGATCGACCAACTATGGAGCATGTTGTCACAATGCTAAACACCAAGAGCATGAGCTTACCTCCACCTAAGCAACCAGCTTACTTCCATGTAAATCCGAGTGAGCAAGAAGTTTCATCATGCAACAATACTATAAGCATCACATTAGAGAGATAACACCACATAGTCATCAGCGCTGAGAAAGATGCTAGTTGCATTGATTAAGTTTATTTGCCTCCAGATGAAACTATTTGCATTAATATAGTGATGCCGATGTGCTTGATGTTTATGCACATCTTTCTGTCCTATTTTGTCACCCAAACAATATTATACATT